AGAGGGAAGGGGCATGGGTACGGGGGCAGATCAAGGCCCTCACAGTGAGGGAGGGAGTGGAGCAAGGGCAGGCATTGCCAAGCTGGGGCGGAACACAGGGTAGAGCTGCGGGCAGCTCGTCCAGGGAGTGTGGAAAGATTGAGCAGCTCCTGGCTGTTAGATGCACCACCAGGGAAGACATGGGGGGGTCATATGCTTCTGGATCTGTGCATGGGGTGAGGGTGGGCTGCCCACTGCAGACTCGGGGCCAGGAGCTATGCCAGCCTCCCCGCAGAAAAGGGCTAAGCCAGGTCTGTGCTCAGGGTGGGCTCAGCTGCATGGGGTGGGTGGCAGTGGCGGTAGCACTAGGGGGAGGCTTGGGGACCTATGGCCACCCCAAAATTCCCTGTAGCCCCCCCCAGTGCTGCCACCGTCCACCCCACACAATTGAGCCCACCCCACCCGCCCTGTTACTTCTGTTTACAAAACTAGAAAAAGTCTTGAATTAGAGACAGACAGGTGCGCTTCATCAGCTGATGAAGAAACAAGCAAAACCTAATGTAGATTTTTTACATTATTTTTAATATTTCTTGTAACTAACTATAGCACAGTAACACACAAGATGCTTGAGCCCAAACTCAAGCAAGCCTTGGCAGCCAAGAGAAGAAGAAATTGAGATTTATATATTTAAGTGAACTAGGATCTTGCTCAGTTGTATTTTTTGAAAACTACAGATTTCAGTTCAGCCATAAATTCTGAATCCCACCCCAATCTGGAATGTTAAGATAGGCAAAAAACCTTTATTTTTCCATGTGGGCAGTCATGGCTAACTCTTAACTACACTTACTTGAAGTATTTACTAATATCGCCACTGAGCAGAATACTGCAATATGGCATACAAAGTCCCTGCCTAAAAAATTTCAAGTAAACTAGCACAAATTATTTTGATTCTTTGGTTTATTTAAGAATAGCCTGCTACTATAGCTTCTGGTCACTATTGTAAATAATTATCAGAACCATTCCTTCAGAACTGCATCTTGACAGTTTTAAATCAATATTCACGTGACAATATTTTTTGAACATGGAGGATCTGAGATCTGCACTCATTTTGCATGCCAAGTTTTGTGCTGATTTTCACAACAAATGCATGTATGAATGACTAATTAAATCCCACTAGTATTCATAGAGTTATATTGTAAACATACACAAAGTTGTCTACATGATTATTTTTTAAATCCTAGATTCCTAGAAACCAAATATTCTGTCAGTAGATTACATCAGATTCTTTCACCTATTAAAATGAAATAACAGAAACAAGTTCAAGAGATAGTGGAGTAGAGGACATGATTTTAAACAACCACAAAACTATCATCTCAGCTGTATGCTTATAACAAGCTACAGTACAAACTTTCAAAAGACATCCTTATGGGACTTCACTACAATTTCTATACTTTCCCTGAAAAGATGCTACTTATATTTAAGTTACATTTTATTTATGCATAGTAATTGTCCAGAATAGTAAGATGACAAATGCAACCATGTATTAACATTCAGTCGAGAACACCAATTCTTTTTATTTTCATATCTAAATTGCTGCCAATTACAAATTATTAAATGCTAGTTTAGAAGAAAAGTAAAAGCATTTCAGCCTTAGTTTTGGTTTCCTTACTATACAAGAACTTAACAATTCTTAACTGCAACATATTTTGATCAGCCTAATGCAAAATTCCATTAGAGCACTCCAAGGAAAATTCCAGACTTTGAGAAGTTTACTCCTCTCTATACAAGGGATAATGATAATTAAAGCCATCTAGCACTAATCTTATGGAAAGAACAATTTATTCTGGATGCAGGGGAGGGGGTGTAATGAGGCTATTTTTCTGCCACTAGCAAGTTAATTGCTTTTTTCATATTTTTTGCTAGGTAACAGTTAAAAACAAACTGGCATTTCAGGGAATCAGTATGCCAATCTTACATATGCTACTTAAACAGTAATTACAAAAACTTCATACAACTAAAATATGTATTTCTGTAATATCTGGCAAAATATATATCCTTAAAATAATTTTACCTCATCAAACCCAGCAGCTTGTAGGTCTTGAAGCATCTGTCGATTTACTTCAGAAGTTCCTTTGGCTGAAGAGTTGGTTTCATTTGCAAAAGGCAGAAGGGAGTTTCGAATTTCCTGCAATGCTTTATGATACATTACAAATTTGGTGGGATTTCGGCCTTGTCTGGGATCTTCAGTTGATATTTTACCCATATTGTGTTCAGCCTTGGCAGCATCTGAGGGCTTAGGCAAATTCCTAAGGCTCTCTCGTATTTCTTGTAACATTTGCCGGCTGCTGCCAGTGTAGTTACTGGCAGGAAAAGTCTTAGGCCTCATTTGTCTATACCCTTCTGGCTTCTCGCTTCTCTTCATGAAAACATGTACATAAGCAACTGCCACCAGGATTCACAGACACAAAATCCAAAAATGGCTGGCTGGTAATTTCCCAACTCACTTTGAAAAGCAACAATGAAATATTCGCTATTGCCTGTGGTTCCAGTTGAGCTGAAATTCTTTCCGCCCCAAGTCAGCTACCCTGTTAAAAAAAGCATTCCAGTTACACATGCAACTACCAGCAGGAAATTTATTTGCAATGAATTTGTGCAATATTTCATCTATATTTACTAAAGCCATCATAAGCAACTTGTTATCTAGGCAGTCTTTAACAAGTCTAAATCACAGGATATTTAGCCTTCTGCTGTCAGAGCTACATCCATGCCAGGGGTTTTGCTGGCAGAGCTCTTGGCTGTTGTGCATGATCTTTTTGTACCTCAGGATGACAGAATCTCTGCTAACATTACCCTGTAACATAGACACGTGCCTAGAAGACCAGAGATAAAAAGAAAAGGAGAAACAGGAAAAGTAAACCAGGACTGATTTCCCCACTGCTAGTACCATTCATCCTGATGGCCATCTTAACCTGTTATATTAGCACCAGTAAAATTACCAAAGTTCTATATATCAAATGAAAAACAGGGCAAAGGATGGAGACTAGAAATATGGACTCTTATACGCTATCGCCAAGCTTTACCACTAACTCAAGCTGATAAGCTGATCAGTTAAATTTAGATCTCCAGCATATTATCAGTTTTTTCTACATCTCAGTCCTGCTTCACACTGTGTATTAACTTTTTAAACTAAACTAACTTTTAACTAACTTCCTTTTTTTAGCTTTTTATAAACACAGTTTTTATCCCATGCTACTGTCAGAAGACCAGTATTAGCTTTACTCGCTAGGATGTAGGTCTCTGACTTGGCTGCAATCCCAGAAGTAACATTTATATACGTTGGCACTTCTGAAGTAATCAACTTTAAATAGTCTGCCGAGGTGATGATATGGTAAAAATCGAGGTGCAACAGATTTTGTGCTCTTACAGTACCAGAAAACCCCAAATATATTTAAAATGAGTAAATCTGAACTGAATATAGTAACTGTTGTTAAAGAAATATTTTCCCAGTATTTTGTTCAAAATCATGATAATAAAGCCACAGATGTTCATTAAATGTTACCAATAAAAACTACAACCTTAGTCTATATGCTTGAGTTATTTATGAAAAATTTTACTTCTTGAATCTGGACCTATAATGTACATGGAATTTTCAAATCACCTTGTTGGAAACAGTATCTTAATATGTTGGTACTACTTAATATGTACCCAAATATTTTTTTTAAATGTAAGCAGTAAACTCAATTTTCAAGCACGTACCTCACTAAAGCAAGACATGGTATTTGTAGTGCCTGAATTTGGAGTTAGAAAGAAGATGGAGAGAAATCAAGGGAAAGGAAGGACACACAGTAACACTTAAGGCCATAAATTAAAATAAGAAACATATATGTCCCTTGATGGTTATTTTATTATTCCATTACTCTGAGATTTCAAAACCAAAAAAGGACCATTATGATGATTTAGTGTATTTTCCTATGTAAGGTAGGCCTAAGAACCTCACCCAATATCAGCTGCATCAACCCCTAACCTATTTGAACTAGACCGCATTTTGTTAAAAATCTTAAGCCAGTGATGAAGAATCTACCACCTCCCTAAGCAAGCCAATTTCATATCTTAATAGGAGTATACTGAAGCAATCTTCACACTAATAATAAAATGAAAGTCTAGCAAAAACTAAAAGCACCATTCTTCCATACCAGAGAGAAGGCTTACCACAGAGGCCCGTGAGCTCCTGCCACAGTGACCAGATTCTTTGCGTTCCCCCTTCCTCCTCCAGCTTCTACCAACTGGCCCTGCTCTTGCTGAGTGGGAGGGGGATGGAGTGCCCAGGCTGTGTGCACACCAGGGGAGAGTCCGGGCTGTATTTCACTGCGCGCGCACAGCAAAAGAGTGAGCTGGATTGCCCTCACTGCAGATGGGCAGTGCATGTGGCAGGGATGGGACCAAGATATCTGTGTTGCAGGGAGGGGGGAGAGAGAGGCTTCCTTCCTGTGTACATGGCATATGGTCCACATGATTTGCAGCCCACAGCCTGTCCTGTGCCTCGAAAGTTGAACACCCCTGCCTTTAGATAATACAACAAATTCTGTAATGGGCTTGCATTCTCTTATACCTGAGAGTACTAGGATTCTTTATAGTTTTTCTAAAGAGGGAAAGTTAGGTATACCAAGACCCTGCTGCTCTGGATACTCAGTATCTTTTAAAGGAGAATGTTTTCCATTTTGTAGTGTGTTTTTACTCAATGTGAGTTTAAAACCAAACATCTGCCATGCTAGTGACAGCTACAGTTAAGATTTTCTGAACTATATCCCTTGTTAACCACTTTTTTTTTTTTTTTTAAGTGCTTCTACCTTTCCAGAGCTATCACCACCTTTCAGCTGAAGTTTTGCAGACCTGACCATTGTCAACATTTCAGCCATTTTGATCAGAGCAAAAAAGATATTGGAAATGATTTTTGTATCAGAAAAAAAAATATTTGTAACTACAACTATATTAACAATTCAAGTCCCATGGATAGAGTCATGCTTTGGCATAGAAATAGTCCCTCTACATGCATTATTTTAAAAATAAGTTTCTGTTTTGATAGAGCTAACACAGAAATAATTAATTCTGTGTGAACACAGTCAACTTTTAAAGACTTGTAAAATACAGTTAAGGAAAACCATAATGTGCATGCTACATGGCAAATTTGTGCCATATACAAGCAGCTTGCTGATGGGTGCAACAAGCAAGTCTCGTGTATCAGTGTATACAAGCAATATAAGAGGCACACATAAGATCGGTGTGCATCTTAAAAAGAAAAATTTGTGTAATTCCTGCATCATTGCAGGACAACAAATTCATCCTATGGGCAGCCTAAGGTGCAAAGAACAGTGCACTCTAATGATGTCTTGCTTTTTTCTTTAAAGCCAATTGGGCAAATGGTAGAAGTGGATATATAAGCCTTTTTCATTTCTTTATTACACATGAAGGTGACTTGAACAAATAAAATAATTCTGCTAACTTAACTCCCCAAAAAATCACTGGAAAGTCAAAGTTCATATCTGCCTTACTTTGGAGAATCCAGACATTTGCAAAGTGCAAGCTCACACCTTCCTTAAAGGAGAGAGAAAGGAAAAAAGGTTCACTCTTATAAAGAATTTGATTTAAACTGATGTGTAAGTTTTATTAAGAGAAATGCTTTCTTTTATTGGACCAACTGCTTGTTTGGGAAAGGAGTCCAATAGTCCAATCTGGCCCAGGGGACCAAAGCAGTTTGATATACCTGCTATAAAACAGTGTAATAATTTGATCACTGCCACACACATACAAGGACAATTAAACTTCCCTAGCCAACCTTAACTAGAAATTTTAACATTAAAAAAGAGTAGTAGTTGAAGGGAAAATGATTCAACTGAAAGCATGTCAGAAATGTGACTTAAAGGATAATTATGCTGAAACAAATTCATCTCTTTAATCATTATTTACCTTAATGTCTTATCATAGAATCTTAGAGAAGTAGGGACGGAAGGGACCTCCAGAGGTCATCTCGTCCAGCCCCCTGCCTGAGGCAGGATCAGCCCTATCCAAGCTATCTCATACAAACCATAATCTTAAACCCTACATAATACATGTAAGAAAAATCAAAGGTCTCAATCAACAATGCCAAGAGACATCACCCCTCCCCCCACCACTGCCAATTTATTATTGGCCCAGATAATGGTTAAGGGTTGTTTTTGTACATTCCAGAGACTGCATTAACTGCTTCACTAATTGGCTATGAAAGAAAATGAGGTGGAAACATACACTAAGAGAACTAAAAAGAATCACCACATCTAGGAAGATGACATGCAGCATTTGTCCGCTTATCCAAAGTCATATTAAAAACAAAAAAACGCACAACAGGCTCAAATGGCTCAGCCAATAAGGAGCAACATTTTATTAGTATTTTGGTTACCAGTTAAAATTCAGCCAAATTTAGTAGCAATCAGAAACAATCATCATCTAACAAATAGGTAAGCTACAAAAAAAAAACCAAAAAACCCAACAGATTCTTTCCACTTCTGATGATAGATAACTACATCAGAGGACAAACACAAAATTCATTCTTTTATCACGTTTATCCTGAAACCTTCCACAGAATTTTCATAACACATTCACATAATCCTGGAATTCCAAAGCAAAAAGAAAACCTATTTGCTCCATGCTTGTATGCTTTTCCATAATTTTCTTTCCTTTGTTACTCAATCAATCACCACCTTGTAACTGAGACAAACAAACTCAACACCCTTAAGATCAGTGGTCAAGCAAATAGGGCACTTAACCAGGAGTCAGAAGCCCTGGAATGTGTTTATTCACCTGTATAGGCTTACAAAGTGACTTTCCTGCCTCGATTTCCTCCTCTACAAAATGAGATGGCTATACATACTTTATTTTGTAAAGGGATCCAAGATCCTTAAACAAAAAATGCTGTAAAAAAAGTGCTGGAAATCATTTATTATTCTGTTGGGGCTTTTAACCTTACTGGTCAAAAACTAAGAGGAGCTGGGAACTAAACTGCTTTGAAGCCAATTTAAATTGATGCCTCCAGCTTAGCAAAGTACAAGGAAGCAACAACTACTGTCATTGTGTGCGATCTATACATGAGCGGCATATAGGGAACTTCAAGCCCTAAGGCTGCCAATTCATCATCTTTCACAAACACTGAATGTATACACATTTTAAAACCAAAGTTAGTTTGCTATGTGGCCAGTACTCCCCTCAACTCATGGAAGACTATCACCCAGGACCCACCCAAATGGAGGAAGGGGGTCTCAGCACTTTGAAATCTCATGACAAGAAGAAATGGAAAAGCAGGAGCAGCAGAAATAGCATGATGGGGACCAAATAAAAAATCCAGTGCCACCCACCCCACACAGAAACACATGTCCAAGATGCAGCAGAGTCTGTCAATACCAGATAGGCCTCATCAGCCATCTCTGGACACACAGATAAAACAACCACTGAAGACAATCATCCTCGACTGTGAACGATTACAGCAGATTTCCCCTGAACTTCGAGTGGATGGTGGCCCCACTTGCAGTGTGCCAAGAGACCACGGTAAATATTTTCAGATGCACCAATCC